AGTGTTTGATTATTTAATTAATTGCGAATGTGGCGCCAGTGCCGAGATGCTTTTGGACCAATAGATTTTTTTTATTGTTAAGTGTTTGATAACGGTCAAAGTCCTTACATGTATGTTTGCAGAATGGATTTGATAATGAAAATAGCTATTGTTAAAGTGACCAGATTTTGAGGCAACCAATAACGGATGCAGACGGGGCGGTAAAAAATCACTGACTCTTTTTTCTAGAATGGTCTTGACGCGTTATACAGGGTGTTGCAGAAATAAAAGCAAGCATTTTAACTGGTACGACCCCAGAAACACGCCTATGTATTTTTTGCGAAGAAAACATTGTTGAAAATTTTAAAAGCTTTTTAGTGCCACTTGTTTATTTACATGAGACTCCTTTACGGTGTATCTAAACCTTGCAATGTTGCCACCTCCTATGTTATCCACATTCTACATATTTTTATAATTATAAATTCACAGCAATTTTCAGCGGATTCAAGCAGTTTCTAATATACGAATATAGCGGGTATCCATCCATCTCTCAGTGTTGGCAATCCTGGTTGGCACGTGGTGCTTTTGGTGCAAGGTTATTAAAAGATAAGATTGTCTCGTAACTCGATCCGCCATTACTGCTCATAGATAAAGGGATAAAAAAGTCCGACAGTGCATTTCCGAATCGATATTCATTGTGTCGTGCATAGTTTTCAGTTGTGTGATGTTTCTTTTTAATTACATTGCCCATTTATCTCTTTTGCATTTAATTTTTTATTCTTTTATCTATGATTTTATACATTCTGTAGCATACCTGTGACATAGTTGCCGCTTTGCTCCTATTGGCCGAAAAGTTACGAGGCAACCTCTTTAATATAGTAACCTTTGGCGAACGTTTGGGCTGCAGCCATTGTCGATGGAATAGATAGCGAAAAAATAAAATATGTATTTGAAATTGTTGAGTGAATCATGTATTTTCTTAGGTTAAATAGTAGTCTTAGTAGATAGTTCTAATTCTCAACATTCAATCATTCAGAAATATATTGAAAGTAGGGGGCGCTTTTCAAGGTGTTTTGTAAATCAGTGGTACAAATTATGATGTAGCCTATATGAAAATAATGTGTTTGAAATCGAGACTGTTATTTTAGCAGTTATTATAACAGTATATATACAAGTAAAACAAAAAGTTTCACTTGAAAATTTTTTAATGTCTTAGGTAAGTTTCTTAGGTAACAACACCATCTTAAAAATGTAATGCATCTCTGCCAAACTCCTCAGGTGGTGTGATCTTCTGATTTATTTTTAAGTATATACTTTCTTGACCATGTGGCAACACAGGGCGTCGAATTACCTGAGATCCGAATAATTCCATGATAGTTGGCGATATCTGCCGGAGGTTCTCAAAATGTTGCCATTATTTTTTTATGTTTTAAAAGTTAAATAACTCGGTTATTATCAATTTAATTGAAAAATGGTAACGAGAAAATGTGTTTCTTTTGACCAGACCTACTACCCCTTAAAATAGTGGCACTTATTTCTGGGACACCCTGTATATTTATATACAGAATGTCCAAGAAATAAGTGCAAGTATTTTAAGGGGTGGTAGATCTCGATTAAAGAAACATATTTTCTCTCTGCCGTTTTTCAAATAATGCCAAAATAACGGAGTTATTTTACTTTGAAAATCTACAAAAAAAATATTTTTTGCTAAAATTTTGAGAACCACTGGATCTTTTTAGGAGTTTCTTTCTTGTAAATTTAATCTACTACCTATGCTGCCATATTATCAAGAATTTATATTTTTTAACTAAAAACTAAAAAAAATACAAAATTTTTTTCAAAAAATTCCGAATTCTCAAAATTTTGTTTTCGCGAAAAGAACCTCACAGGCGTGTTTCTGGGGTTGAACTATACTCCCAGTTAAAATATTTGCACTTATTTCTGGGACACCCTGTATTCATAAATTTTAGCAAAAAAATTCTAGAAATCGCTAAAACATTTTCATAATAATAATTGAACTCTCTGTAATTGGTGTAATAGATCGGTCTTTAATTAGCTTGATTAGAAAAGTACAGTTTTAAGTATGTAGGAAGAATTATTAAAAAACGGTTATTTTCTTCATTAGTGCCACGTAAAAATGGTTGACGTGCCCAATTTATAGAAGCTAATTGCGATACGTCGAAGTAGAAACGGCGTCTAATCTCCAACCAAATTAAATAGAAAGTCGCCGTCGTTGTCGAAGTCGTTCACTGTCCTCCGTGCAGGTTGTTCACTCCCACTTCCACATTTCAATTAAGGAAGATGGAAAGTGACCACATTTTACCGTGAATAATTTTAGTAGCTAAGGAACATACAGACGGTCCTTGTCCGTAGCGATTTGCATCTCAATTTCCGATAGGACCTGGAAAATAGAGTGGTCGAGACGGTTCCCGACCACATTTAGAATTAATAATTAATAGGCAAACTCTGCGCTCCAGAGATGGTGCAAATTCAATCATATGTATTTCGTAGTGTCATCATTTTATTTCCCTTGAAATTTTTGATAAAAAAAATGTTTTCTTCTATATATAACAAAATATCTATGATTTTGACGGTGGTTATTTGTTTAAGAATATATACCTTAGTTTGTGCTTTCTATGCTATCTCTAAATATCATCTGACTTATTTCATATTATTTCTTAAAAACTGTAAGAAGTTTAGGTGTATCTTTACGATACTTCATGAAACAATACCAAAATATTTTCGAACGAGACTGTTGCTCTTGGTCATACAGAAAAAGTATAACCGAGACCAAGACCTGCTGCTCTAACCAAGACCAAAGATCAAAAGATGAAGCAAGACGGACGTTCGTCTTGAGAACAACTGTCGTCAGTTTTTTCGACATACTTCCGTTTTACGTGAAACGCAAAATTGATAGGTAAAACTTTTATGTGTAAACGCGGCTTAGAGAAATTTTAGCACGATTTCTGGGAAGCGTTTGTTGTTATTACAGAATTGGAAAATTTACGATATAGCGTAAATTGAGTGAAATTGTTTTCGTGATTCACTAAATTGAACATATTTTTTTCGTCTGAATGAATCATAAGATTTTTTTGGATATATGCTTATATAAAAAATATTCTTCTACAACGAAATTTTATTACCTAGAAACAAAAAAAAAACCGCAAATCTAGTTTTGAGAAAGGAATATTTCCCAAACCCCATAAAACAACTAACCAATGAATTAACACCCTCCAAATAACCACGCTAACCAACTCGCCAAATAACTAAACTAATCCAACCAAAAAGAGTGAAACCAATGCAATCAAATCACACTAAGCAAAAAAAATAATCCAATAAAATTAATTTTTCGGGTTTGGGAAATATTCCTTGCTCAAAACTAGATTTGCGTATTTTTCTCGGGCATTGCCCGAATTCGACTATTGAGCGTAGTATATACAAAGTTTACAGAATTCTTGTTCTGCAAACTTTGGTATATATGGGTAGTTAATTCTAAAATTTCTGTCTAAAAATAAACAGTGTCTAAAAATGTGTTTATCCGAAATCAGTTGGAATAGACTGGAAATCTTCTTTATTCTTTGTCGGCATCGTCGATAATGTCTGTACTTTTGTGACGAGTTTGCATCTTGAATAAAAATCTGTTTTTTAAAGTAAATTTTTGTTATTTTGGAGTTCTAACTGTGGACCATCCGGGCTTCCTTAGGGTCACGAAAAGTGGTAACGATCGAAAAAGTGGTCAATGAGAAAGTTGAGATAGGCATTTGGAGCGTCGTAACTCGGGCTCTATTTGAGCTAGGGGGCTGAAACTCGGAATGTATTTTTGATATTGAAGAAAAATGTGGGTCGATTTCAGCATAATCTGGGACGGGCTACAGGATGACGCCCTCGACGTTTCGAACCGATACCCCCAAATAGGCGAAATCATCAAAATTTTTCTTAATTATGGGTCGATTGGAACCAAATTTGGATCATTGGAATCATCAGACGGTAATTTTGATACAAATTTTGTGAAAGTGAAACAAATTATTTATTAATTTTTAATGTGTTAACTTTTTCAACATTTCAAAATAAATTTTTTCAAACATATCGCACATACACACAATCTTTGTATTTTATTAAGAATAGTCAGCTGATGGAGTTCGGGCTACAGGATTCGAACTAATAACCTTTAGGTTGGTAGACGAATACCTTTGAAAATTAAAATGACATTTCATGAATTATTTAATCGCTAATTTTAATTGACAAATTAGGATCGTTATTGATGCTTGTTTACTTTTACGCCGAGACCTATTAAACTAATTACGCGCTTTCTTTCCAGAAATATGTCTTCGAAGAGAAAGTCTCCGCCAACGAAACTTCACGACGGCAGCCCCAGCGACGCCCCCCCTATCCAGACGCACATGGGCAGCGGCAGCGACGGCGGGGGTCTGACCGATCTCGACGACACCAGCAGTAACAACCTGAGCGACATTTGCGAAGAAGATACCAATACCATGGTGAACCCCTCGAATACATTCTACAAATTGTCGGAATCGTCATCGCCAAGCGGTTGTGGCAGCGACATAGACGACGGATTGGACGACGATCATATCCCATCGAAGACGGCCAAGATATCTGGAGTTGCGGGTGAAAACAATTGCAACAACTCGATGATGACGTCGGTGTCGCCGTGCATATCCGCCCTGTCTCTGCACAACGAGGAGCTGGAGCGGCGGCGGAACTCGTCGGAGTGCAGTTCGCCCAATTCGGACGTTAAAACGAATTTTCACTATAACAACAATAACAATAGTTTAATGAACAACAACAGTTCCTTGCATCCGTTGAGGAGGTCGATGGATGACGTGCTGAAACGGTTGACGTCGAAGATCACGACGAACTTGGTGAAGGAGGAACGAAGACCGACGCCTTCGTCGACGCCAAATTCACATAATTCGTAAGTAATCGCTCAACATATTTAGTTTTATTTAACATGTTGACATTAACAAAGTCAAAATTCCATTCATCGATCATTTGATTTTGGCAAGATATACTATACGATTACTTACTTCCTTTCTGTCATTACTTGCTGACGAGTATTTGACACGCATCAGAAGATGGTTACGAAAAGCGTTTTCTTTCATGAGCTTTTAGCTTGAATCAGAACCTCGCAATAAGTGGAATAAATTAGTAGTTTCAATTAAACTTTATACTTTTTATTTTACGATTATTCACAATGTCTAAAAACACACTTAAAATTAATAGAATTTCCTAGCAACCGCTTGCGGTAGTCAGTTGAATCCATACACTGAGAGAAAAAACGTTGTAAAATCAAAAATAATGCTAATGAATCAAATAAAATCAAACATGTTTTGGCCTCATTAATGGTCATAATTGAAATAATAAGATGTCTATTGATTTTATGCATATACTCGTATATAAAACATACATGATCATTGTCATTGTTAGTAGTATATCAGATTTAGAATAAAAATGCTGCCTATTTGATTTAAAGAAATATACATTTGTTTATTAGTGTTTTCCTTTTGTTTTTCAAATACATTCCTTTTATTTCAAGCTTTTCTCTTTATATTTTCAAATGCAATGCTTAATGATTTATTAATATGTCACTTTGTTTAAAACTTGAGTTGATTTTAATCGAATAGGATCAGTACTAACAATTTAAATGAAATAAATATCAAATTCATTAGGAAAATAAATTTATTTCGGAATTAATCTTTTGGTGATAAGTAGGTAAATACAATTGTATTGAATGTCTTCCAAAATAAAAAATAAAAATAATAGATATAAGGAAGGGTATCCTGGTGAATTTTGTCTAGTGACGAATGGTTTTTGTAATATCCTGGAATTGATCTGTCTTTATTAGATTCCTTCAAAGGTCACAGAGATTCTAAAAAAGAAAGCAACGTTTAGTTAAATATATGATATACTTTTCTCCATCTTAAAACTGGAGTTAACCTGAAACAGAAATGTTTATATACAGGGTATACAGGATTTGCAGGTTTTCTGAATCGTATAATTGCAAAAAACAGTATTTTTGAGGTTCCTAACGCCACTGTAGATGAGAAAAACCGCGCTATGTTGAATTTAAAAAGTGGTGTTCTTAAATTTCTTGAAAAAAAAATTCTTCATTCTTTCACGAAAAGATATTGTCGTTGGGTAATATATTAAATTTACCACCCTGTACAAATTTCTGTTCTGTACAGGATGAGGCAACGATAGAGTAAAGTCCATTATCTCAATAATTGTTTGGAGGTTTACAGATAAATGTTAAATACAAAAGTTATAGGGAAGGTTAAGATACACGTTTTAAATTATTGTAGAATATATTTGTATTGTCTATTTTTTTGTATTATTGTATATTTTTTTGTATTGTATATTATTTGTATTGTTATATTGTAGAATATACTGGATGCTTCATAAAGTAAAAAAAAATAAGGAAGGTTGGAAAAAATATATTTTTTATTTATTTATTAATATCTCTGATATTATCGAAATATATTTACTCATATATAATATATTATGTAAAGTGGTCCAAAAGGAAGCCAAAAATGCAATAATATACAGGGTCTTCTATTTAAAAAAAACATACCGATCCACTTACACATTTTTGAGCCACCCTATAGAAGTTGAAATATTTTCCTGAAATACATCCTCGTACAAACTTTAGGTTTGAACTTAAACAAAATTGTGAAGTTTATTATTCTAGGAGCTACAGATGCCCGACGCACTGCTGCCGGACCCTGTATATTATAAAAAAAACATTATTAGATAAAAAAGTTATAGAATTTTACGTAGAATTTAAAAAATGAAATAAAAAATAGGGTGTTGCATTTAACAAGTTATATCCACAACACTTTTTTGAAGCACTCTGTATATTCTACAATAATTTTAAAATGTGTATCCTAACCCTCCCTATCACTTTTATATTTAACTTTTTTGTAAATCTCAAAACAAAGGAGATATTGACCTTACTCTATCGTTGACTCACCCTGTACATTCTGTAATGTTCATCAATATATTTTTTTACCTTTTATAAGTTCCACCTTTTTAACAATTTTGCTAGCTTGACTTCGTATTCCTTTACATCGGAATTTTCATCATCTAGTGAAATATTACTTTGCAAATTTGAATTGTTGAATTCGTCCAGCGTTAAATTCAAAATCACAATTCAAGAAAACCTTTGGCCGCCATAATGCTACTGAAATAATATTAACGTTTGATCTTTCTAAACAACTACTTAAACAACACATTACCTGTAAACGACACAATTCTCCTTTTTGTCACTAACAACTGTCATATACAATAAATATCATTGTACTATTCAAAATCATGGAACGCGATAAAAATCATACAACAAGGTGTGGCTTAATCGGGCTTATCCCGTCAATACCGCCAAACACCATCTTTCGATGTCCACCTCAAATGCATGACTTTCTATTGGCCAATATTAATCACGTGCCTAACAGAAATATTAGCAATTCTTATAGAAATAAAATACTCTCGTGCTTAAAATAAAGTTATTATAAGGATGTCTTATTGGAATAAATAGACAAGCAACACTTTTCAAAAATAATAAGGCAATGCCAGTTTATTTTAAACGTAGTTCTTTTGAAATATATAGAGTAATAATTAGTTTAAAAGGACTAAATATTAGATATCCGATAAAACAGTATTCACTTTATTTCGAATGCTTTAATTTTTATTAGGTATATAAAACAATATTATATTATCAGCAATCAATTAAAACAAATAATTAGGTAAATCGAATTCCATACAACGAGTTAATTATTTTAACGTGATTTATTGTGCATTTTAAAATGCATTTTTTTTTCTGAGTGTAGAGAGCCTAATTGTAGTTAGAAGAGCCTAATATCTAGCTTATAAAACATTAAACTTTTGATTTCTAACTACAATTTCTCTTGACGGTTGACAATCAATGGCCAAAATGACATTCCTCGCAAATTTTGAAGCAAAATTAGTGGAAAAGTTAAAAGTTTGTTAACTTTTTCTACTAATTGAAAATTACTACCAATAATTTTGACGTTCTAAATGCTTAGATTGACATTAGTGGAACAAACTTCTATGCTAATTAAAACCACTAATATATTCCACTAATTACGAAGTTTTGAATGAAGCTTTACTGTGACTTGAAAACCCGATACGTGATGTTTTCTCCCTTCCGCATTTCGGACATTCAAAAATTTCATTACTTTGTTGCCTCTTTACTGTTTTGTTGTCGTTGTTAACTGAATTTACAATTCTTCCTCATTGCGTTCTATTGTGCGCTGCTTCCTCCCATTGATTCTGTTGTTCTGTTGTTGCTTATCCCCTTTAAGATTTCACGGAAAATATCCTTGTACCTTTTGACTTTTGAGTTGTTCACCCGGTTTCCTCTTACCGTCGACAAACTCACCGTAAAAAAGAGATTTTCTTGCATCCTGCATACGTGACCAGCCCATCTTAAGCGGGATTTAGTAATCCTGCCTTCGGCGCTCTCGCAACTAGCTTTTTCAAAGACTGATACGTTTCAGATATGATGATACCTTTTGATTCTTAACAGTCTCTGTTGCAACATGTTTAATGCGTTCATGTGCCTTTTCAGAAATCCAACTGCCGCCGAGGCCATTGAATTCCGCTACATATTCCAATAATTCTTCTCTGATTTTTATAGTATTGTTGTGATTTTCCGTGGGAGTACACATCATTTTAGCATACGATCAGGGCATTCAATCTCGGACGAAATTTCCAATCCCGGGATCTTTTATGTGATCCTGGGATTTAGAAAAAAAAACCTTGTTAGAGTTACCTTGAAATATTTTCCCTGTGAAAAATCATATTTCATTGAAAACCCTTTATATTTTAACTAGCGTGTACCAGCGACTTCGTTTGCGTCGAATTAATCATTTGTAATGGTGATGATAAAGCAAAGCAAGAATTTCCATTAACATACAAATATGGCGATATTATTATATAACTTGGTAATATTTGAGGGATAGTTTCATCTCGTTGGAATTTGATTTTCGAAAAATCTGTTTGCCAAAAATAAGCATTTTTCGCCAAGCAGTTTAAGCAGAAAATCGTGGTTAAGAAATTACTCAACTTTTTGGAACACCCTTATGATTTTTTCAAAATTTCAAAATATGTAAAAAATCAAATAAATTATGCTTGTCCAAGCGTTTTCCCGAAAGACTAACCGTTTTTTAAATAACAAATATTGTAATATTTGACGGGCGTTTTCACCCTCTTGGTATTTGAGATTCGAGAAACCCCTCCTAATCGAACCTCTACACACTTTTTTTTTCAAACCTCAAACCCACAATCAATCCGTTTACCAAAAATCAGCTTTAAATGCCAAGCAGTTTAAGCAGAATCGTGATTACTCAATGGTCATATTTTATGAAACACCCTGTATAAATTTATAAAAAATCTTTAAATATGTAAAACAACAAAATAAAATATATGTGTTTAAGAGTTTTTCCGAAAAACTCACCGGTTTTTAAATAAAAAATATTTTAATATTTGAGGGATAGTTTCACCCCCTTAGAATTCGAGTTTCAAAAATCCCTTCTTATCGAACCTCTACACCCTAAAGTCAATCTGTTTTTCAACAATCAGCTTTTTACGTCAAGCGCTTTAAGCAGGATCGTGATTAATCAATGACCAGATTTTTCGAAACACCCTGTATACATTTTTTAAAAAATCTTAAAATATGTAAAAAAACAAAATAAAATATACGTGTTTAAGCGTTTTTTCGGGAACTTGGTCGTTTTTTAAATAAAAAATATTGTAATATTTGAAGGGTGGTTTCACCCCCTTGTAACTGGAATTTCGAAAAATCCCTTCTTATCGAACCTCTACACCCTAGAATCAACTTGTATGCCAAAATTGAGCTTCTTACGTTGAGTGGTTTGAGCAGGATCGTGATTAATCAAT